GAGGCCTTCCGCAAGAGGATGATGCTGGCCTACCGATTCCGGCCCAACCCACTGGTGCGTGTGTCCCTAACTGAGCTGTGACTGTGTGGGGGGGAGGGTCCATCTGTGTCCCACCAAGGTACCCAGTTCACTCGCTATAGGGGGTGGTAGACACCCTGGTGACACCTGTGCCCCCTTCCCCACTCCAGTTAGACGGGGTCTCCGCAGCAGCCCCCAGCCTCACCCTCTGCACTTGAGCCCTCCTGCCCTCCGCGCGTGAGGACGTGAGCTCAGCTAGCCCGGCTCTGGAAGGTTCTGGGCTCTGGGCGGAAGGCACTGGAGACCTTTAGCATCAGCCCTGCCCCTTTTTTGTTTTTTCACCTCAGAACAACCCCCGACGGCCTTACTACTGAGTATTCTGGAGAAACACAACAACGTGCTTCCAAACAATCAGCCGTCCCTGGACTATGGAATGTTCCAGCCTGCATTCCTGCCTCCCTTCCTGTTGTTGCGAGTGTCATACTGTGTATTAAAGTCCCAGTGCCCGTGGGGGCAGCCTGGTCCTGTCGTTGCCAGAAACCCCTCCTCTTCCTTAGCCACAGGGCCGGGCCAAGCACGTGGGGACAGGATGCTACCGTCTAGGCTCCCCAGCACCCATGGAATCCTAGACAACCCCCTTGGGCTGGGATGGAGTTGAGGGGAGGACCCAGCAAGCTCCCTGGGGTGGGGAAAGACCTACCAGCCAAGATTGGGCCAGGGGCATCAGGGACCTCCCAGCCCAGCACTGCACCGCAGGAGAGCGCTGGGAAGGGGTCTCCAGGAGGGCCCAGCCCTCCCTCAGATCTTCCAGGCAAGGGGACCCAGGGCACTCCTGTGCCCCTCACCTTGCCAGCAGGCGGCACTGACAAGACCCCACATAGCAACACCAGCCAGTGACAGGTCCCTGGGGCTGGTGCCTCTGGGCACAGCTTTGTGGACAGATGCACAATGCTGAGACATCACACACCTCCTGAAGGAGAGGAATGGGGTGGGTGGCCCAGACCTAAGAGAGTGTCAAGCACTGGGGACCTGAGGGGCCCCCATAACTCACCCACCTGCCCAACATGCACCCAGTGGGTCTTGCTCCACCCCAGGGGGGCTCATGGGCTCTAAGGACTCCAGCTGGAACAGCCTCCCAGAGCATCCTGCATTCACACGGTCACTCAGCAAATGCTGAGCACCACCTGTGTGGATGGGCTTTGCCCCCTCACAGCCACAGTCTGCTAGAGACATGGTAGTGACTACAAGCACAATCTGAGACTGGCCAGTGCTATGAAGGAACCTGGAGCTATGGAGGTGGTCTAGAAGTGTCTCAGTTTGGTAGGGTTCAGGGAGTGAAGGTCTCAGCAGAGTTCAGGCTGGGGTGACACACACCACCCTGTCTTCCTTCCAAGGAGTCTGTGCCTAGGGCGGGGCAAGGAGGTGGCATGTATCCATGTGTGGAGGCTTCTAGTGGGCCAGGGTCTGGAGCACAAGGGTGTACCTCTGGGCACCCAGAGGTTGCAGTGATGGGAACCCCAGTCTCAGTCCTAGGCACCCTGCCATCCAGGTCAAGGTTGCCCCTCAGTTGAATTCTTAGTAACTGGGAGGTTTGCCAGTATCAGTCCATGGACTTTACCCCCAGGCACAGGGAAAACCGGAAAAGATGGCCTGTAAATGCTGTATGTGCAGGCACCTCCCAGACTTGGGGGGGGACAAGGCGAGGTTGCTAGACACTCCTGACTCTTGAGAGAGAAAAGGGACTAGTGTGGTAGGAGGGCTGCCTGGAAGAGGAGACATTGGGATCTGCTTTAAGGGGTGAGGGTCCATCTTGCAGACAGGAGAGGCCTGTGGGGTGTTGGTACAAGTCATGTTGGGAAAAGTGAAGAAACTGGCTAGAGGCTTAGGTCAGCCCAGAAGAACCTGAACTTCAACCCATGGGGAACTGGACACTTCGGGATGGAGGTTATCAGGTTAGGGGCTACAAGATCATGACACCCACACTCGGATGAGATGGAGCCTAACTGGCACAAGGCCAAGGGGCTGCATGGAGGAGGGTTAGACCCTTACCCCAACCACAGACTGGGAACCCCCCACCGAAGAGCAGGAATCAGCGGGCACTGCCCACCCTGTTTACAGCGGAGTCAGGCTGGTTGGAGGGGGTGACAAAGACAAGCAGCTGCCCCCTAAGTCTCTCCTACAGCCCCCTCCCTGGTCCAGTGTCCCCACTTTTTATCTTTGGACCCAGCCCAGCCTCTCCCAGGCCTTTCAGAACACAGAGCTCCCCTTCTTGGAGCCCCTCAACCACAAGTCCAGCCCAAGGCTTCTTTTAGCAGCTGAGCTCCAAGTCTGAACTATTGTTGCTGGGAACATTGTTCCCAAGCTCCTCACCAAACATCCCCACCACTGCCTAACAGCCCTCCCCTTGGGGTCCCACCCTCCCTTGTGAGCAGGGTCTCTCAAGGTGTTGGGGCTGCGCAGAAGGCTTAGAGCACAGAATCACCGAGTCCTTCAAGGGACTCTCCCCCTCCCCCCACAAGTCCAGGGCAGTGGCCGCCTGCCTTGAGATGGTCCCCAGGCCCCGTCAAAGCTTCACACCTGCATACGGTTAAATCTGGCCACGGCGTGAACGCTCAAATCAGAGCACCCAAGCGGACGGGGTTCCTCGATCAGCGCGCACGGACAATGCACTCTTGAACTCGGAGGAGGGACGTCTGCGGAAATGAGTTACAAAGGCTGCCTTTTAAGGCCGACATTGGAACGCCGGTGCCTTAGGGATAAAGAAAGCAGAAGAGCAGAAGGCGACCTGGAGAATGAAGTTGCTGGCCCAGGGCCTCCAGACGCAGGTCCGGACCTCAGAGCGGAAGCATCCAAGACACAGAGAGGGAAACAGGCTGCGCAGCGGTGACGGCCACCGAGGGTCGCGCGGAGTCCAGCGAAGGACTAGAGCGGGAGGAGCCGCCGCAAAGGGGAGGGGCCTCGGAGGCTCCCCAGGAGTGCGAAGGACGACCTTTGTGTGGGGCGGGGCAGGCCGGGCCAAATCGCTGCCAACTCCGCACACACTCCGCACACACACACACATCCGCGCCCAGACGCGCCGCCGCGGAACAGCCGAGCGCCCCGGAGCCCGCGCCGGGGACGAGCCGGGGTCCAGGCGCCACCGCTATGGACATCCCGCCGCTGGCCGGCAAAATCTCGGTTCTGTCGCTCTGCGCCCTCCCCGTATCTTACGGGCTCAACTACGTCTCGGCGCTCTCGCAGTGCGTGCCGGGAGGGGCCGGGCGGCCTCCCGGGGGGCGGCGGGGGCGGAAGGGAGGACGCGCGTAGTGGCGGCCTGCTCCCGAGAGCCCGAGCCCCTCGGCCCCGGCCGTGGAGGAGGAGGGCGGGGCCAAAGAAGCCCCCTCCAAACGGAAGTCCCCTTCCCACCCGCCAGGAGGCTGTGTGGATGGGATGGGGGCGCTCCTGGGACATTTGGGGTCTGGGGAGAAGGGACGTTGAGAAGCAGAGCCCCCAACAGGGCAGGGTTTTGGAGGGTTACAGGGGTTTTCCCAGGGATGTGCCCGGCGCTGGATCCATAGTTAACAAGGGTCAAAGTGTCCCAGATAAGGTCCCGGTGACTTGGCTCTTGCCACACACACTCTGCTCCACCGCCGCTACCGGATGGTCCCTCCAACGCCAGTCACAGGCATGGGACTTTCTTCTGTGACGGCTGGCCCACCCTGTTCCTAGCCTCAGTTTCCCTTACATGCTGTGACCTCTGCTGACCCTGTCTCTAGACCTCAGCCCCGTGGATTCCTGCCACAGGGTACTAGGCATGCATAAGCCCCTCAAGCTCCCAACCTAGCTTACCCCAAAACATGGAAGAGAGGGATTCTTGGCTTTGGGTTGGCTCCTTGGGTACAAATTCCTGGCTGCATCTCCACCAGACCCTGGGTAAGTCAGGTAGCCTCTGAGAGCTCATCTTCTTCATTGTGTAATGAATATATTCCTAGTTCTCATCCCATTACAGTTAAGCATTATGAATAGTGCAAAGACTCTGGTGTGTCTGATGTAACACCTGATACTGTAATTGTCCTTGTTGGTCATATGGGGACAGGGTGGGAGTCCAGGGATCAGAGGGGTTTATGAGAAGGTAGGAATCTGAAGAGAGTGCAGGGGATAGTGTGTGACCCTGGATAGGTCTTCCTCTCTGGACCTTGGTTTGCCTACCTATGTTAGGATCTGCCCAGAGATCTGGCTTCTATTATCTATGCAACTGGTTACCTACCTTATCGGGTTGCTGGGGACAGATCAGGGCAGGGGTGGGGTGAAGTTGATGTAGGCATTTGGACTTTAGCTGGGATGAGTCAGGAGTATCAGACAGTGAGGTGGACAGAACTAGGCAGTAGAGACCCTCCAGCAGGCATGGGAGCTGGGTCTGGCCACAGGTGGGCTTAGGGTTGTCCCATGCCTGACGGCAAACTGAGTCAAACACATATCTGCATACAGTCAGAAAGAGCTGACAGATTCTCCCTCTGTACCTGGCCTAAGTCAGGCAATGATTCTTTCTGAGTCAGGGAGGGCATCCTGGAGGAAGAGCCATGAAAGATGGGCCATGAAGGATGAGTAGGAATTTGCCAACTGGAAGAGTTTCCAGGAGGCAGAAACAGCTGGGGCAAGAGCCTGGTGATGGGAAAGCGCAATTTCAGGGAAGGACATTCCTGGACAGACAGATGCTTCAGCCTCTTCACCTGGAGCTTCCCAGTGCCTGCTCTTGCCCTCACCAGGGTGGGATGGGGCCTCCGCACTAGGCCTGGCCACCCTGACTTAGTTTCCCTCTCCACAGGTCCGTGGGGGGAGCATTGATGAGCACCCTGATCCTAGGTCTGCTCTTTGTGGCTATTTACAACTTGTCCCAAGGCGAGATCTCCTACGACCCACTCTATGCAGGTGAGTGAGTGGGAGGAGGGCCTGCCGAAGAGGACGTGTCAAGGCCTCCCCCATCAGACTGGAGAATCTCAGTGAGACTGAAGAATGCCTAGTGATTGGGGAAACTCAGAGGGCTTCCCCCTTAACACAGGGACAGTGACTCTTACAGCTGGGGACTCCCAAAAGCAGGGACTATGCGAGAGGCCGGGCTGCGGGTCGTGTGACCTGCGGAGTGGGGACTAGGGGCAGTTGGGCAGGGAGTCCTCGCCTGGAATCCAGTCCTGCGGCTCAGCTCCAGGCCCCACCCGGGCCCGGGCCCGGGCCCGGCCCCGCCCACTCTCCTGGCAGTGTTCGCTCTCTTTGCCTTCTCGTCGGTGGTGGACCTCCTTATCGCTCTCCAGGAAGATGGCTACATGATGGGCTTCATGGACTTCTACACCAAGGAGGTATGTAGGGAGCAGCCTGGGATGCTCCTGCCCGACTGCGGCTCTGAGCCCTGCACCTGCCCCCACAGGGCGTGCCCTACCTGCGCACTGCACACGGAATCTTCATCTGCTACTGGGACGGCACCGTTCACTACCTTCTCTACTTGGCCATGGCCAGCGCCATCTACAGAAGGTGTGTGGGGTGGGCAGGGTGGCACCTGGACCCTGGAAAGGAGGTCCACCC